AACAAATCGGATAACGAACACTTTTGTGAAAGATTTTTATGTTCAGACAACGAACACCTCATGGAACAAACACAAGAAGCAACATAAAATAACTGGTCTTCAGGCAACAATTCGAAACTTTTGGAGTGCTGGAGACGTTGACATTCACACTCAATCCAGTATATACTGATTGGATAGTATTCCTCTGAACTTTGAAACTCTTCCTTGTAATTCCAGCCTTTTATTTTTCTGACAGAAACAATTCTTTTATTGTATTCGTGAGACTGTCAGGTGAGCACTCGTTAAGTTTTGCATTGGTTTTTATTTTCGAAAGGTGAGAGTATAATAGCAAAGATAGAGAGGGAGCATAAGATATCTAATGTTGCTGGGCAGTATGGCTTGAACAGGTCTACAGTAGGCCACAGTTCAATCTTATCTAAGAAAGATACTGTATAATCAAGAAGACTTAAGCAGCTAAAGGAGTAACAAAAATCATATCTGAAAAATAAAGAACATTGAAGAAATCATAATGGAGCCTGAAACAGACTGACAACAGAACACCACCAAGAAACTCGGCAAGATAGGTTTTCTTCTGAAAAGAGGATTAATGCTGATATCTGCTATTAAACATCTTTTGAAAAAGTGGGAGGATGTCAGAACAATGGTCTTAGAATGGTATCCAAACCAGGTTGAGGTTAATAAGCTTGGGGATCTCTACAATTACAATGCTATTAATTATTTCTGAAAAATTCTGGCAAAAAGCAAGACATTGAACAGATTGTTTAACCCCCACAAACAGAAAAAACATGATTAATAAAGATGCAAGACTATGTATATATGTATTTTTATTATTACATATAAATAAACATAGTAAGAAAGTATATATTTTTTATTTTTGTGATCTCCAGAATGAATTAATCAAATTCCCTTAAAAACCTAAGGTAAATCGATAATCAGTTAATAAACAATTCGAATAGCGAACAAAGTCTTGGAATGGATTATGTTCGTTAATCGATCACCCACTGTACATCAGATACACTGGACTATATTTTTTATTTGTAAGAATGAATAATTAATTCTTGTTAAAATGTGTAATGAACAAAATTAATTACGCATTCTTATAAATAAAAAAAATATAGTCCAAAGTGTATCAGACCTATACATTACTTACACATTTCAAATTTACACTTGAATTTTTACTTATATTGATTCAGATCTAATCTGCATTTCTTACATATAAAATATATGTTTCCAAAGCAAAACTACTAACTTGCCACCGTAACACAAAATCTGTGGAAGTACATGACAATAATACACATCCATTCATTTAAATAGATTTTTAAAAACTATCAATTATATCACAGCAAAAATTAATAATAATAGGAACATTTATAATTACTGTTTATAAAAAGTTTTCATCACATAACATAAATAGATAGGGAAAAAAAACCTTCATGTAATAAAATCTAGTTTGTAAATGTAGCTAAACACTTTTGTTTATACAAAAGTTTAGAGCATCATTCTAAAATAAATTCAATCATCATCATCAGAAAATGTATGTTATAAAACACTAATTAACTTATAATAAACTAAAAAGTGTAGTTTCAAATAAGAATAATTAAAGGACAAAAGATTTGATTAAAAACAGCCTAAGTGCTTAGAAAACAAGGCATACCAATTTCATTTCAATTCAAAGATCTGTCAGGATTAAACAGGATTTGTCATGAGTTTTGCTTGTTTTAATATTTTAATTTTGTAATGCATCATCAATTATTTTTAATATTTTTTCATGAGTCAACGGTTTTAATATTTGTTCAAACCGTTAATGTCCTTTTGTTTTAATTCATGACTGAAATTTGAAATTGTTATATAACTTACCCCATTGTATAACTGGCACTCCCTTTCAAATCATCTTTCAAACAGATAACCCATGGATTAATAAAAAAAATTACAGTATTTGACTTCTATTAAAAAAACGAATGTTCATATTTTTTATAATAAAACATTTATTTAATGTAAATATATTGCAAATAGCAGAAATCATCCTCAGCACAAAAACAGGAAATTCCCTATCATCATATTTGCTGAGAAACTTTTTTCACACAAATGTTTTCAACCTACTCTACAAATCATTCTCAGATGTAAAATACATGCTAATCATTTTGTAAATCAAACCTTCTCAAAATAAATGTTTTCAAACATTGGAACAAAATTTAGACACACATCTTGAAACATATTATGAATTTAAATTAAATGAACATATCATAAAATTTGCACTGTAAATATATTGCACAGCACAAAAATATATTTAAATTATTACATTACATCTTTGTACATGAAATAATTTAAACAGTTCGTTGTTTAGAAATGGAAACAGGTATTGCTCAAGGATATATTGTCAAGTTGGATGAAATATGGCAAAATGGTTCAACCTCTCTCTATACAGAACTTCTAGTCCACAATGGGACAACCAGGTGGTGAGGACCTAGATCCAACATATCTGGAACAGATTACAAATGGAAAATCTAAACTGTCCAGATACAATCTAAATCTCCAGAACAGTAGCTGATGGCTTAACTGCCTCAGCTATCACTTTGTATATTATTAAAATGTACTATGTTCTATATTCAGAAAAATGAATGACAGAAGTAGGGGTGTTTTAAACCCAAGTAATTAAAATAACTTCTACAAAAGCTTATTCATTTAAACAAATTATAATCATATGAATATTGTAAACGTTATCTCTATTAATATATTTATTGCAAAACACAGCATAAAAAAGCTAATTATGTTAATGGTTCATATAAAAGAAGTGTTCCTAAAGTTTTCATTTATCTGAAGAAATTTATAAAACTTTACAAAAGAAATTAAATATTTTTACCTGATTTGGTTGTGTTCCCCACCTATCCAATCTTTCTTCTTTTATTTCTCTACTGTTTCCTGCAAGGAAAGAAAAAGTTATATTATCACCACAATATTGTTTATAAATATATTTTCAAAATATCCAATCTTTCTATTTTCAGTTGCTTCTTATTTTATTGATATTATTCTTTTTCTTCCACAACATTTTTCTGAGAAATCATCCAATAATCTGTACTTTTTAATGATTAACAATTTCTCTGAATTAGGAAGTGATATTAAAATTTGTTTTTTACAATTATTCTGTTATTTTTTTATTTTGATGCTTATAAGAAAGTTTAAATATAATCTTTTAAGTCTAATTTAACACTTTCAAATGAGGTAAGTTCTTGTAAATGCCTGTGCACTAGCATTTTTTGTTTTTGTTTTTTTAAATGATTTTTAATGAAATATTTGTCATGATATTTTAGAATTTGTTTCTTTGTATTTTTGTTAGCATGAAACAATTAACAGAATAATCATTATAAAGAAAAAAAGTTTTAAAAAACTTGAATAAAATGGCCTTTTTTTAAATGTAAAAAAGTAATACAATAGTATGGTGTTTACATTGATGATGCTTAAATCATATTCAATCATATTCAATTTTTTTTGTCTCAGCATCAGAACTACATATTTCTGACCTCAGATTTTCATTTATTAAATGTAAAGCTTCATTAACTGATAACTTTCTGTGAACAGTCATGGTATAAAACATCAAAATATTAAACAATGCATATTACTTAATACTAGAAACGATAATTTTTCATTAAACACTTCCTACATTGACTATAGATGAGTCTAACTGTCCAGCTCCATAGAACAACAAAATTGAACAAGTAAGACTCATCCTTTGTCTTTTAGAGGAAAACTGACTTGATGAGCAAAACTTGTCCATAGACCAAGAAAATTTAAAAATGTAATCAATTTCCTAATTCTTATCACAATTCCTTGTGAATTCATATTTTTAAAAATTCATATTTTTAAAAATCCATATTTAAAAATTTACAAAGTTTAATATACAGTAAGACCCCACTTAACATTGCTGTGATATAACGCGGTCTGCTCAAAGCCTAAAAAAAAAGCTCAAAATTTACGCTGATTCAAATTATTGTGCCATTTCATTGATTTGTGTTTAGGAATAATAAATCAGCAAAAGGTGGTAATTTGTCATAGTGCCATACTTTCCTTAAAACTGTTTGGTGCAATTTTGGAAAAAATATATCATCATGGATGCCATAGGCATAATTGACTTTCACTTGGCAAGAATTAACTGATAAATGATTGAATGGAGTGTGAAAGAAGTTATGGCAGGAAGTATCCAAGAATTCTCAATGAGAAGAGCCTATCGCTGTATCATTAGGTTGACCAAATTGTCAACCCAATCAATACAACAGGACTGGGAGATGTAGACGAGCAGGATAATAGGGAGTTACTGCAAGTTCTGGTGAGAGTTTTACCAACGACTACCTTCAAGAACTGGTAGAAGAAGAAATTCATGTAAACTGGAAAACTGTGACTCTGAAAATGAAGAACTACAAAGAATTTCTCTACAGATTTCCTTCGTAAAAATTTGGTAACAATAACCAAAATCATTGATCAAATTGTAATGAATGATTCAGATTTTGAAAGGAGTACAAAAGCAAAATGAGATATTTTGGATGCGATCTCTTGCTACTGACATTTGCTTAAGGAAAGAAAACAGCAACAAATGAAACTACACGACTTTATCACAAAAGAATTTCAGAAGAGTCAGGACTTTGGTCACAACAAATGAACTTTACATTTCTGTGTGCATATGTTTATGTGTTATTTAACATATATTATTATGCAAATTAATATAAAAATAACTTAAAAGTAAAATCTTTTGTTGCATGTTCCCCTTTCCCTATTTACTCTGTGTTAAAATTATCTCGTTTAATGCTGTTTCATTTAGAAACTTTGCCATCTAGGAACGTATCCCCCGCATTAAGCGGGGTCTTACTGTAACTAATGAAATGTAATATCAAGTTTTAATTTGATAATAGACTTTAAAAAAATTTCAATTTCTGTCATGAATATACTGAAAAATTCCAAAAAATTAATTTGAATTAATATCTGAACATTGTGATTCTAATAAAATTAAAAATAAATTTATGCACACACAATGTAAAATAAACCAAACAAAATTTAAAAGAAAGTTACTTTGTTCTTTACAGAATGTTTTGATTTATGATCTCTCTAATGTTAAAACTGCACTATAAAAAAATGTTCTTTTTTCTAGACCTTCTTTTCTGAACATTATTAAATTTAACACATTAATAATGCATAAAGATCAAGAATTTCATAGCTTATATTTAAAATTGACTATTACTGCACTTACTGATTGATAATTAAAGCTAATTTAGTAATCATTCCAAATGAAATGTATTAAAATCATATAAAGACAGGCATTCAAGCATATGGTATAGCAACTATAGATTTGGCAATTCTGTAAATCTATCAGTCTTTCAAATAGCTACCTCAATTTTTATAAAATAAAGCTATCAATTTTACTATGCAAGTGTCTGAAAGCTTATGTTATAAACATTAATTTTACTTTCTAAATCGATATTATTATTTCAAAACAATCTATATATTGGATAGAACAGAAGTGGATAAGTTGTGGAAAAGGGAAATTCCCATTTTTTTGAATATTTGAGCCTGATGACATGACAGAGGTTCCAACAGCTGTTTTATCCAATAAAGAAGCCGACTCCTAAAATTTGTAGCACTCGTTTTTTCTACTGAAATCACAAGGAGTCATTATACTCAGAAACTAGTTGTAACAACAAAGACACTCAAAAACATTTTTAATATTCTTGAAAACTATAAATTTCTTTACTTTAACAAATACAACAAATAAAAAAAATCCTATTTAAATACTAAAGTTTGTTGCCGTAGCAACATTAACAACATTATATTACACACGTATGCAAACTTTCATATTATTTTTTGAATCTAACAAAATTATTTTTGACTTACCTTCCATATTTTTAAATTTTTCACTTACAATGTTTTAGTTAGTGAAGGAGTATCTGAACTTACTTCAAATTATATTGTATGAATTATAGATTAACTATAAAGTATGTGAAATTATTTGGAAAAATTTCAATTTAAAATGGACAAAAAAAAAACATAATTTAAAAACATACATGAAATCATAAACAAAATAGCAATTATAGTTATCATATTATTAATGGTTACAATATTGAAAATATAAACACAAATTTAAATAATTATTTTCAATTTTAATTGAAAATATAAGGATTTATCAGAAAATAACGATAAATTACAAATTATAATTTACATGTCATTTACAGTTCCCATTCAAATTAACATATGAAGACATCAGAACAAGAGTTATAGCTGTTTCTAGCTATAACATGGTATATGTATTCTGATGGATTTTTATATAATAATAAAAACAAATCTTATGTAAAAAGTATGGTTAAGGAGACTAATCTGTATAATCTATCAAAATGAAAGTTGTTTTTTTATTACTTATGAAGTAATGGATATATTTTTATGTCAACCTTTTATAACACACGGATTTAGCACATGTAAAAGTATTGATCCTATTACTATTCATAGCACAAGATTAACATATTCCTTCTCTGCAGCTTCAAGCTTCTCCTCAAAGTCACCTCTCGCAAATTTGTATAACAGGATGTAACAAAAACATCTGAATGTGTTTAGAGCAATATAACTTTTGAACGCAAAAAGAGAATTTTAAAATCAAATCTTCATGTCAAAATTACATGCTCAGTTACATCACATGATGTTTTCAAACATTTGCAAGTCATTTCAGAAAAATGACTTAAAACGGGGACATATTAAGAGAGCAAGCACACTGCACAAAAATAATGAGAACAAAAAAAAAAAAAAAAAACAATGGATGGTGGAGGATCTTTTAGCTGAAGGCCATAGTAAATCAACTGTATATGATGAAACCTGTGTAAACCAAACTCGTATGGTACAGAATATTTTTTCCAGTATGTAAGGTTTCCGTTTTGAACAGATTTTTTTTTAACACAGAAAATTGCTGCATTTTGTAAGAATTTTTCCCATTTAGGCAAATTTCCATTTTATTAAGGTTCTGTTTTGGATAGGTTTTACTATTGATATGTAATATTTTGAAGAAGTATGAAATATCTGGAGCATGGAAAAGAAGGCCAGGAAGTGGAAGAAAGCTGGCTGTTATGAATGATAAAAACCAAGTATTGCAACAAATCTTTGACAACAATGATGCAATTAGCCAGGTGAAGGCAGCTAAAAGGTTCAATTGTCAAACATATATGGGTAAAACACTTAAGATAGGCATAAAAAAAAGGATGAAGAAGGCCCCAGAGTACACTGCTGAAATCCAAATGCAATGCAGATGGCTCATAAAAAATTCTGGAAAGAAAACATTTGTTTTGAATGATGAGAAGTACTACTCTCTGTCATGCAAAGAACCAAGAAACCAAGAAACGAAATTTACTAAATGAACAATGAAAATCAAGTACAGTGGTGCCTCGTATAACGTACTTAATCCGTTCCAGGTGCACGTCCGTTAAGTGAAACGTCTGTTATACGAAATGCATTTTCCCATAGAAATACATGTTAAAACATATAATTCGTTCCGCAGCATAAAATAACCGTACCATAAAAAAATGAAAATGGAGCAGTTACCAATTATGCCAGGTAGTCAGATGTTGTGAGGAGGTGAAGGAACACTTTTTTCACACATTCATACAGATACAGACTTTTTACACATTGCAGCAGGTCTCTTTTTATTGTTTTTTTAATCGGAGTCAGATTTAGAAGAGGCTACCGGAGCTTGCAGGGTCAACTCCTCTTGTTCCATCCTTTGTTTTTTGACAGCTGGCTTCTTGAAAAACATGTCCAAGGTGGTCTGTTTCTCTCTCTTCTTCAAACTTGTCGGAAATGACAGGCAAGGGTGTCATTGTAGATATCATTGATCCTGTTGGCCTCAGCTCTGGATAATGAGTGTTGGTAAACTCCTGAACCTCTCCCCATTTGAC